ACTTGATAGGTTTTATTTAAGTCTAACGTGTAATTTTGACAAAGTTAAGAGCTAGGCGGATCCTAACGTCTTAACCGTAGTAAATCGCAGTTAGAAATTTCGAGTAGAGACTTGATAACGTGATCACCCTGAGTTGAAGAATTCCACGGTGACAATATATACTTAAATAAGCTTTTTTTTGTGATAAGTATAAAAAAATGCTGATCAATATAATTTATTTTTAGCTTTATGGAATTATTTAATATATTAATTTAATGAAAAGTAAACCTTAATGGAAAAAAAATCAAATTAATTTAGTGACGCTTTTACATTTAGAAACTAATTATTTTAATATATCAATTTAATGAAAAAATTTTAATGACGCCTTATATTTAAAAATTAATTTAACAAAAAAAGTCAAATTAATTTAGCAAAATCGTATTACATTCTGATTATTATATATATACACTTAATACTATATACTTGTCTTATTTGATTCTTTTCTTTAAAATAGAAAGATCAAAACTCACGAGAAAACTATTTTTTTACCTAATACAACAAAATCAAATAATAGTACAAGAGAAGAATCATCTGCAATTAATATTGTAATTGAAGATAAAAGCTCTAGTAAAAATTTATTCTATCAATGATTTAATGATTTTCATAGTGATTACATAATAATTTTAATAATAATTTATACATTTATCATTTTAGCTATGTCTGCTAGATCACGATTTGAAATTGACAATACAACAAAAAAATCTTCAAAAAATAAATTCATGCTAACCAATAAATGTAAATCAGTATTACAGGATAGATCTAACAAGAAGAAAACGCACACCAACTGCTGACGATTCTAATTAAAGAGATCAGAATTTAAGTGTTAGTTTACTATCTTCAAGAGAATTTGAAGGATTATTGAAAGCAAAATTACTATTACATGCATTTTCATCAGATAGCGAAAATGGTGACGATAATATGAATCTGATAGATAATGATGAAATGATCAATAAACTAGCTCCTATTTAACTAACTTCTGATACTACAGCTCATAATACTAGTATTAATACTCAAGCAGCTTCTAGTACAGTTCCTGAACCTAGTGCTCAAGCAGCTAATATTAGTATTAATACTCAAGCAGTTTCTGATATTAATACTATTAGTATATTATAAGATAACAATAAAGTGAAAATTAAAAGACTTGTCTAGAATTTCATTAATATTTTTATACAAAATCCAGAACTATGAAAAGAGTTTAAAGAAGTTGTTAATTCAAGCCCAACCGATATTACTAAAAAAATATAATCTCATAGTAATCCTGCCATTAAATTGCAATTATTTAATGTAATTATAATTGTTATTAATATTTAAATTTATATCAGCTATATTATATTTTTTAATATTCTAGATTATTTTTATAAGATATACCAATTACACTGATGTAATCAAATGATGAAAAAGAGGCCAAAAATTTTCTAATAGAATGCAAGTGTCTATTTTTGCGAATAAGAACTCTTTCAAAAAGTGTTTTACAATTTATAATTGAAAAGATTTGATCTCAATATACTTATAATATATTCCAATCTACTAGTGCTTTAATAAAAGCATACAATAATTTTGACTCTTGGCATAATAATCTTAACAGAGAATTAAAAAAGACTGCAGAATTATTTATCAAACAAAGGGCAAGTATTAGATTATAATTATATTATTTTTTTATAAGTATTAGTACTTACGAATTTCTTTAAATAGTCTTAATAATATGTCTAGTAATTTTGATATTGTATATTTTGTCAATAACGATGTTATAAAGAATGTTCTCAGATTTTAGTTAAATAACTTAAGACTAAATTACCTAGAAAATGATAGATCCACCTTCAAACCACTAAAAAGTTCATTAGAATAGCACTGGAAATACATTTAAAGTATATTTTCAACAGAAATTAAAAAATTAGATATTCAGTAGATGTTTTAGAAAAGGTAAAAAGCGATCATTTGACAGACGTCACAAAAGGCATTGGTATACTTAGTTTTAGTAGGTTGAATTTTGCTAACGATGTGAAAATTTAATAATAGCAATGCTTATGAAATAGCATATTTTTTTAATGATTATTTTTGCTATTTTTACTGTTTTTTCTTTTACTTTATTTTTTTACAGTTTCTTGGTAAGTGGTTGCAATAATGTTAGAAATATTTTCCTGTTTAATAGTAATTCAGTCAGTTTTTTTGACTTACTTAGTATTTCTTTTGTGTGTTTATCTATTCCTTTTGTGTAATTATAAAAATATGAAAATGTAAAATATAGAAAAACTTATTATAATAAATAGTATGTAACTAACATTTTATATCTTTATAATATTCAGATTTTATAATTATTATAAAATATAATAATAAGCATTGTAAAACTATTTTATTTTTTAAAAATTTTGCAATGAAATCAAAAGCTTTTATTAATATTATAAAAAGGTTATATAAGGCTTATAAAATATGTAAAAGTCTTTTATAATCATTATGACTTTTTGATAGATTTTTGCTAAGGTGTTCTATAAAATTAGATTAGATTAAATTAAAATAAAATATTATCTGATTTGATTTTCATTTTCATAGATTCAAATCTGATTTAAATTTAATAGATTAGTTTAAATTTAAATTTGATTTACCTTTGATAATTTAAAAGTTTTTTTGATTATTTAATTAAAATAATAACAAATTATTAATGAGAATAATAATATATTATTTAAGAAAATATAGTAAATTATTTAAAAAGAATAATGATGAATTATTTAAAAGAATGAAGATGATCATTTAAGAAGAATAATGGTAAATTATTTAAGAAGAATAATAGTAAATTGTTTAAGAAAATGATAGTAAGAAAAATAATGATAAATTATTTAATAAAAATAATAATAAATCATTTAATTAAAATAATAGTAAATTAGTTATATTAATAATCAATTCAAATTTAAATTTTAATCTAAATTTAAATCTGATAGATTAGATTCTAATTTAAATTTAAATTTAATAGATCAAATAAATCTAAATTATATAAAATATTAGTAAATAATAATAATTTTGAATTCTTATTTATTTTATAAATAAGAATTAATAGCTATTATTATATATGTTTTTTGTTATTATTGATTCTTCTTTAAAATAAAAAATTAATAAATAATATTATCCTTTATATAGATTAATATTTAAATTAAAAATTCTAATATGTTTTATTATATAGAGAAATTTTTGCATAATAAGAAAATTTATACATTTTTAAATAAGTTATATTAACCTTTTTAGGTAAAAATATTATAAAAATCTCTTTAATTTTTTTCAAAAAGTCTTTTAAAATATAAAATCAAAGTAACATTTTTTATATATTTCTATAAAGATTTTATTTGTTTTAATTTAATTTTAATTTAAAATTTAAATAAATTAAAATTTAAATAATTTTATTTTATATAAAATTATATACATATAAATTATTTAATACTTCACTTTCTTAAAATAAATATTTTTGTTTTAGAATTAAATTCAATTGTAGGTTTTAAATAAAAATTTTAAAAATAAATAAAAAAATTGAAAAATATATCTAATAAGATTTAAAATATATAATATGATATATAAATTATTTGAGATATTAGTGATAATAAGATATTTCAATAGCATTTTTTAGATATGCAACTGAATCTAAAAGAAATAAATGTGATAAATTAAATGATACATTAACTTTAAAAAAAAATTACTTGAAGTAAAATAACTTAATAAAGTATGATTTTTATTAATTGATCAAATATTATTGAAAGAATAATATATATAAACTATATTATTTTTTTTTGTATTTATTATTATTTTAATAGAAAAAAGGTTACTGTAATAAAAAAATTTAACCATAAAAGGAAGCATTATGTTACTCAAACACGTGCGAATGCACCACCAATTCATTCTTCGGGTGGTTTATAATTTTTTATATCTGCGTACTAGTATTATTGTGTATAAAAGATAACACCTGTAGTGATTGTGGAAAATGATCATAGCGATTTACTCACATCATTAAAAGGGATTAGCTCGAGTAAGTAGTATCAAGCATAGTATCTTTGATCTTTTCTTGTTAAAAAGAGGCGCCTTTTATTCCTGAGATTTATTCTTATCAGAGAAGAATCAATCTTCTTAATGTATAATTTTCTTTGAATAAAAACTAAAACTTTTTGTAAAAAATTTTGATTTCGGCTTTTAAAAGTTTGAATTTATAACATCAGAACAAATCGTAAATTCAGTTGACGTGTATACTCATACCTGATAATTTATAACATTCAATCGGCTCTAAATTCCCTAAACAAAAATTCTAGGACATCTATTTGTAAAGGGGAATGTTACATCATCATCATCGAAGACCATACGTAAATTAATCACTTTAACTCGTATCTTCTTTTGATCATTACCCTTTTCCTTTTAATTAATATGTCGTAGTTCTTTTTAGTCATTCTTCGACAGTTTTATCGCTCTTTCGATGAACTAGACATTTGATAATTTTATCGTTTGAATCACGATTGAATGTCGGTAGAATATCATGTTTTGTCTTTTGAGTAATCGAGCAATTATTTCCTGACCATTTCCACTTTCGTGTTGAGTTAAAATGTTTGATTTCTTATCTGTTAACTTGATATAATTCATAATCTTCATTTTTATATATCAATGGCTCCAGCTCCTTTAGCTTCAGGTATAGAACCAAAATTCTCTGATTACAAGCTGTTGAAAAATTATATTGGTATGGATCGTCTAACAAATTTTTTTTCGGTTATTGATTCTCGTTTTCATATTTTATACACGACGTAAAGTGTCAATGATCAACAATTAGAGCCCCAATGTTTTGTATGTTGTTTTGAATATCTTATAATCAGTGTCTGACAATTATAAAATGATCAAATAATTCGTAGAAATTACGAGTTGAATGAACAATAAAGGGTTATTGCCGCACCTTTCCTTCGGAATGTGTAACCAGTAGAATACTCATTATGATGTCTTATACAAAACTATTTCAAAAAGATCCCTTCATCTATTACAATTGATCCATTTTGGGCATTCTTAAAGTTTTGCCAGCTCAGCAATGTTTGAAGCACATAAAATAAAGATTGTCTCAAACTTTACGAGATCCTATAAGCAGAAACTTCATTATAAAGTTTCGATGATTAAAGAGGGGAAACGAATGTTATATAGGAAGTCCCATCTGCTAATTTAAATAATAATTTAACTAGTTTAACTAGTTATATAAATGGTGCATTTTAAAAAAATTGGAAAGTTCGATCATTAACCGAAACCCGGGTACTATTCCCGCATGTGATAAACCGGCTGTTTATTTGTGCATTATCTTTGATTTATCGACGCGCCAATCTAAAATTCTATATATAAGAAAAATATCTATCTACATTCTGGCCGATGAAGAACCCAAGTTTTTACCTACGACCGAGTCATTTACATATAACCTTTTACCGTTGTTGCTAATTAATAATTCCTTTTTACGACATACATTATAGTAAGGAATTCAGAAATATTCACACACTACCATGGACGACATAATAAACCGACTCAAAAACAAGTGAGTCATATTTTCTTAAGCAATAGTTGATTAGGTGTATAGAATACTGAATTTCGGTAATTAAAAATTCTCTTTCACGCAGAGACAAGGTTGTTCAGCAAAAGGCGGCCTTGGAACTTCGACTACTGGTATTCATATAATTATAACATCATATTTTAGCATGGCTTAAATATTATTTATACTTACGTTTTGACTGTAGGTCGAAGGACAACCTAATTTATTAAATGAAGCTAATAAACGAATATTTGAAATGATGCAAGGAGATACACCTGACAAAATTGGTGGTATCATTGCTATCGGTAAGGTTAATAAAACTTCTTATTTTGTTAAAAATTTTAATTGTGTGAATTTAGAATATTAAAATGTAATTATTTTAGATTCGTTGATTAATAATAATATTGAAACGACAACTCTTTCTCGTTTTACAAATTACTTGAAAATGGTTCTACCAAGTGGAGATCAACAAATAATGATTTTAGCATCAAAGGCATTAGGCAAGCTAGCTGCACCCAGTGGTGCCGTGACAGCTATATTTGTGGCGCGAGAAGTAAATACAGCCTTAGAATATTTGTCGGGTAATTGATTTTGTAAATTTTTAATAATTCAAATGGATTAAATTTATCATATGATAACTAAAATAATATTTGAAATTTATTTATACAAGGTGACCGACATGAATCGCGTCGTTATGCTGCCGCGCTTGTGTTACGAGAATTAGCGCAAAATGCACCAACTTTAATATATACTTATGTATCAGTAATTTTGGAAAATATATGGGTTGGATTGCGGGACCAAAAACAAATAATCCGAGATGCTTCTGCAGAGACTTTAAGTGCATGTTTAAAAATTGTTTATGAACGCGAGAGTACAGCGAGAACTCAATGGTATACAAAAATATATGAAGAAGCATCAAAAAATTTAAAGTCTAGTAATGCTGATCAAATACACGGGGCATTGTTAGCATATCGAGAGTTATTACATCATGCAAAGATGGTCGGTTTTTTTTAAAATAATAATAATATTATTAAAAATAATAATAATATACTCCTGCGATTATTAAAACCTTACTTATTAACCATTCCCTATAATTTTTTAATTACCAGTTTATGAGTGAAAGATATAAGAGTGTATGCGAAACTGTGTTACGCTATAAAGATTACCGGGACAATCTTATTCGGAAAACTGTGATTTCTTTAATACCAGTTCTTGCAGAATTTAACAGCGAAGAATTTGTCAGTACATGTGTTCATAAATGCATGTTGCATTTGTTAGGTCAACTTAAAAAGGACAGAGACAGATCTATATGTGTGTAAAATTTTTTTTTTTTTTACTTTATTGAGTATGCACATTTCTTATGGTTTTATAAATGATTATTATTCATTTTGAATTGTTATACAGCATTTATTGCTATAGGACAAGTAGCCATTGCTGTAGGTAGTAACATGGGGCCTTATTTGGATTCTATATTAAGCAGTATTAAGGAAGGTCTTACACCTAAAGCACGCAGCCGTGCCGGTAATGAAGCTCCCTTGTTTCAATGTATTGGAATGTTAGCACGTGCTGTTGGTCAAGCGCTTACCAAGCATATGCATGAACTAATGGATTTGATGTTTGCATGCGGACTAAGTGAACCATTACGACAAGCTTTAATGGACTTGGCCAGATTTATTCCTCCCCTATTACCGAATATTCAAGGTTTCTACAAATCAAAACATGATTGTTATTCCATAATATTATAATATTTGAATTTCTTTTTTTTATGATTAAATTAGAACGTCTCTTGAATATGTTGTCTATAACCCTTAGCGGACAGCAGTTTCGTGCCCCAGGATCACCTGCGTCAGAGGGTCCGGACTTGAGACGTCATCTTAAGACTGATATGTCAGAAATGAAAGATGTAGAGACAGTGACATTGGCTCTTAAAACGCTTGGTAGCTTCAATTTTGAAGGTCATATTTTAAATGAGTTTGTAAGAGATTGCGTAGTTCGGTATCTTGAGCAAGATAATCCTGAAGTACGAGAAGCAGCTGCATTAACTTGCTGCCAGTTGTTTGCCCGAGATCCAATACTGGATCAAACTAGCAATCACGCTATTTTAGTAGTTAATGAAGTCTTGGAAAAACTTTTAACAGTTGGAGTTGCGGATCCCGGTATGAAGAAACTATAATAAGACTTAGGTTATGTTCATTAATTTTAATTTTTTGTCAATTATTTATTAATAGCCATCTTTTATTAAATAAGATCCGAATATTAGAGAAACCGTGTTGAAAAATCTCACAGAAAGATTTGATAAACACTTGGCGCAAGCTGAAAATATTCGATCATTGTTCCTTGCCTTAAACGATGAAGTCTTTACTATTCGAGAAATCACTATTACAATTATAGGTCGTCTCGCTTCTCATAATCCGGCCTATGTAATGCCATCATTACGTAAAACGCTCATCCAGCTACTTACGGAATTGGAATATTCTAGCATGAGGTAAGAATTAAATATTATTTATGTTTCTTTTATAAATTTATTCTTGTCTAGAGTATACTTATTATGTATATTTATTATTTATCTATTTATTTATTTATTTAAAGTCGTAATAAAGAAGAAAGTGCACGATTATTAAGTCTTTTAGTATCAGCTTCACAAAAGTTAATAAAACCTTATGTAGAGTCGATATTAAAAGCTCTTTTGCCGAAATCTCGTGATCCAAGCCCTGCTGTAGCATCGAGTGTATTAGCTGCACTTGGTGAATTAGCTCGTGTTGGTGGTGAAGATCTTACACCATACTTGGATAGCTTGATGCCTTTGATCATTGATGCCCTTCAAGATCAAAGTTCAACTGTAAAACGAGACGCTGCACTTAAAACCTTGGGACAACTTACAAGCAATACCGGCTTTGTAATTGAGCCATATCAGAAATATCCTCAATTACTTTCTATTATGATTAATATTTTAAAGACTGAGCAGTCAACTTCTATTCGACGCGAAACTGTGAAATTAATAGGAATTCTCGGTGCATTAGATCCTTATCGTCATAAGGTAGGATCTTTTATACCTAATAATTAAAACAACTTTACATTAATAAACAACCTTTTATTATTATTTAGATAACAATTGGCTCATCCGAAGATTCTTTATCTGATCCTAAAGCTACAAATACAGATGTATTTTTAATGATGGGTTTAGGACCTTCTTCAGAGGATTATTATCCAACTGTCGTTATTAATGCGTTAATGAAAATCCTTCGAGATGCTTCATTGAATGCGCATCACACCGCTGTTATCGAGGCTGTCATGTATATTTTCAAGACGTTGAGCTTGAAATGCGTTCCTTTCTTACCACAGGTAATTGTTCATCTTCATAATTTCTTCATTAATTATGTCAACGTTATGGTTAACCAAGTTTGCGCAATTTCTTTTGATATAGATTACTCCTGCATTCTTAGGCGTAATGCGTACATGCCCTAGTGGTATGCTTGAATTTTATTTCCAACAATTGGGTATCCTAGTTTCTATTGTTAAACAGCACATTAGGAATTATCTTTCTGATATTTTTGCCTTGGTTGAGAGTTTTTGGAATCCAAGTTCTACAATTCAGATTACAATTATTGATCTTGTCGAACAAATCGCTATATCTCTTGATGGTGAATTTAAGAATCATTTGCCAGTATTATTGCCTATTATGTTACAGATATTTGATCAGGACAGGAGTGAAAAACGTAACCCAACTCTTAAAGTGTTACATGCTCTTGTAGTATTTGGCACTAATATTGAGGAATATATGCATCTTGTTATTCCTGTGGTTGTCAAGCTTTTTGAGAAATCAGATGTACCGCTTCAACTTCGCAAGTCAGCAGTTCAAACTATCGGTCAAATGTCTAAGAAAGTGAATTTCTCGGATCATGCATCTAGAATAATTCACCCATTAGCACGTGTATTGGCAATGCCATATGCGGATTTGAAGACTGCTGCCATGGACACACTTTGTGCTCTTGTCGTTCAACTAGGGTCGGATTATGCTATATTCATTCCAATGATAAATAAAGTAATGCCATTTCTTGCTGCTTTTAATAAAAATTTTAGGCATCTAATTATATTATTCTTCTTTAAAGGTAATTCAAAAACAACGTATCCAGCACCCTGATTATGAGATGCTCGTTTCGAAACTCCTTAAAGGAGAACCATTGCCTGTAAGCGAAGAAAGGTACATTAATTACCATTCCTTATTCAATAGTAAACACGTTGAATATGTTTATTTATATTAATTTTTAACAGGTCTAATGAAACAAGAACTGAAGAAACGCCTGCCGCAGAGACAAACGCTAAAAAATTACCAGTAAACCAACAGCATTTGAAAAATGCGTGGGAATGTTCTCAAAGATCCACGAAAGATGATTGGCATGAATGGATACGCAGGTTAAGTGTAGAATTACTTAAAGAATCCCCGTCACATGCTCTTCGAGCATGTGCTAGTTTGGCCGGTGTATACCATCAGCTCGCAAGGGAATTATTTAATGCAGGATTTATATCTTGTTGGTCTGAGTTATATTATCAATATAAGGTAGCTTTAAATTAATGATAAAGTTATAGTATTTTTCATTGGTTTGCGATTAACGATCGTCTCTAATTTCATAGGATGAATTAGTAAGTTCTTTAATGTCTGCATTGAGAGCACCAAATATCCCTGCGGAAATTGTTTCGACCATTTTAAATTTGGCTGAATTTATGGAGCATTATGATAAGCCACTCCCTATTGATATAAGAACGCTTGGTAATCACGCTGAAAATTGTCATGCGTATGCTAAGGCCCTTCATTACAAAGAATTGGAATTCATCGGTGAAGCGTCCACAGAGACAATTGAAAAGTTGATTCAAATTAACAATCAGTTACAATTACCAGATGCCGCTATCGGTATACTTACACACGCACAACAGAATCCAAATTTGCAAGATTTACAATTAAAAGAAAATTGGTATGAAAAGCTGAATCGTTGGGAAGATGCGTTAACAGCATATGAAAAACGTCGAACAGATGATCCAAATGATAATGAAGCGACTCTTGGCGTGATGCGTTGTCTACATTCATTGGGTGATATGGATGGGCTTTCTGAACTTGTTCAAGAAAAATGGCCTGAAGCGGAAACTGAAATGCGCAAGTCAATTGCTACCTATGCAGCTGCTGGCGCATGGTCTTTAGGCCAGTGGGGTTTAATGGAGGATTACATTAAAAATATTAAATCTGATAATTATTATAGACCATTCTATCAAGCTATTATTGCTTTACACAAGAACCAATATTCAGAGGCTGTTCGTTATATCGATAAAACTCGAGATTTATTAGATACAGAATTGACAGCTCTTGTTGGCGAGAGCTATAATAGAGCTTACAAGTAAGTAGTAAACATTTCTTTCATCTTAATCATTTTGATTTAATTTAGTGTAATTTCATTCTCTATTTAGTGTTGTTGTTCGTGTTCAAATGTTGGCAGAATTGGAAGAAATCATTACTTACAAACAATATGCCGACCAGCCTGATCGTCAAGCAACTATCCGAAAAACTTGGATGAAGAGGTAAATTATATAATTAGTTTAAATGTATTATAATTAATTACAATGCCTTTCGTTAATTTCATCATCAAAATATCATAGGCTCAAGGGGTGCCAACGAAACGTAGATGTTTGGCAACAAATTCTCAAAGTTCGAGCGTTGGTGATTTCACCAAAAGAAAACATGGAAATGTGGATTAAATTTGCAAATTTATGTAGAAAGAGTGATCGTCTTGAGTTTGCAGAAAAAACATTAAAATTACTTTTAGTTGGTGATCAAAAGTTAGAATTAATTCATCCATCGGTAAAGTTGATTTATTATTCTGAGTCAAGTTTCCTTTTCATTGACTAATTTTTATTAATTAAATTTTGTCATAACCTTTGAAATGAAAGATTCTTGCAAGAGCCTCTCCGCAAGTTGTTTATGCACATTTGAAATGGATGTGGGCAAGTGGAGTTCGTGAAGAAGCATTAGAATTTTTACGTGATTTCACCACAAGGATGTCAAATAATGATCGAGTTGGTAATAATGGGCTACTTGCACGCTGTTATCTCAAGAAGGGAGAGTGGCAGAAAGTTTTACAGGATGATTGGGATAGAGTATGTAAACTACTACTGGAAAATTTCAGTCGTTATTATACACCTTAATAACTTTAATATATTTTTTAGGAAACCGTTCCCGATATTTTACAATCTTATTTGCTTGCAACGCAATATGATAAAGATTGGTATAAAGCTTGGCATGCATGGGCTCTCGCAAACTTTGAGGTTATTTCTTTTTATGAGAAATTAAAATCTGCTGAAAATAATACAGCAGCCGACCAAACTATTACTACTGTTACTGAAGAAATTAGTGGAGACATTCAACAAGAAGTATTACGTTACGTAGTACCGTCCGTTCAAGGTATTGATCATATTCAAGCAAATTTTAATTTAAAAGAAATATTTTTTACAAATGTTCAAATTAAATTTTTTCTTTTTTTTGTAGGGTTCTTTAGGTCAATCGCTCTTTCAAGGGGTAATTGTCTACAAGATACATTGAGACTGCTAACTCTCTGGTTCAAATATGGTTATCAAGAAGAAGTCTGTAGTGCTATTAAAGAAGGATTTGGCAGTGTCAATATTGATACATGGCTCGAAGTTATTCCGCAGGTTTGCTCATTATTTATACATAGGACGTCATAAACGATTCACTAAGCTAATTAATGATATTTTATATAACGAACCAATTTAGCTGATTGCGCGAATTCATGCTCCAGATCAAAAAGTGCGCCGCCTTATTCACGATTTATTGGCCGAGGTTGGAAAAGAACATCCTCAAGCTTTAATTTATCCTCTTACTGTTGCATCTAAATCTCAGAGTTTTAATCGACAAACTGCTGCTTCATCTGTCATGGATAAATTACGGGCGCATAGCGCTGTTCTTGTTGAACAGGTATTTATATCATAATATTTACGTTATTATTCGTCCTTAATAATGACGAGCTGTTTGAATCATTAGGCTTTGCTTGTAAGTCAAGAACTTATCCGTGTTGCAATATTATGGCACGAAATATGGATGGAAAATTTGGAAGAAGCATCTCGTTTATTCTTTATTGAGCGTAACTTTGAAGCTATGTTCAATATATTGGATGAATTGCAGGAACGCCTTGATCGTGGTCCCGAGACTTTGCGGGAAGTAGCATTTGTACAAGCATATGGGAGAGAACTTCAGGAAGCTGGTGGATGGTGTAAGAAATATAAACAAACAGGAGATATGACTTTCTTATCTCAAGCTTGGCAAATATATCACGAAGTATATATTAACTATTAATTCTATTCTTTCATTGATTTCATTGCTTTCATCAAGTATTTTATTGAGCGTAATTATATTTATTTACGTTTGTAAATATAGATGTTTAAAAAAATAACTGCGCAAGTGGGAACCATAACAACGCTGGAACTTCAATACGTTTCGCCGAAATTACTTGCAGCACGAGACTTGGAATTGGCAGTTCCAGGTTAGTCCTGGATGAGAAATTTTTTTTTTTTTTGTAAAGCCAACGTTTCTAATCTTAACTTGTATTATTTTTTTAGGCACATATAAAAGTGGGGAACCTGTTACCAAAATAGCAAGTTTCATCGCTACGGTCAATATTATTTCTTCGAAACAACGCCCTAGAAAATTGAATTTGATGGGTAGTGATGGCAAGGAATACCAATTCTTACTAAAAGGTGCGTTATTATACTTTATTTTAATTACAACCGTTCATCAATAATGATTGATAGCCATTTATGATATTTAAACAGGTCACGAAGACTTACGGCAAGACGAACGTGTAATGCAACTATTCGGTTTGGTGAATACTTTGCTCTCTATAGACTCGGAAACGTTTAAGAGACATTTACATATTCAAAGATATACTGTAACTCCTCTCACGCCGAATATCGGTCTTCTTGGATGGGTACCTAATTGCGACACCCTACATGCTCTTATTCGTGATTATCGTGAGAGTAAAAAGATTCTCCTTAATATTGAACATCGTTTAATGTTACAGGTAATTTATATTTAAAAAATTTATTATATATTGTATATCTGGTATTAACAATATGAACATTAATAATATAAAATGTATAGATGGCACCTGACTATGACCAATGTACCATTATTGAGAAAGTTGAAGTATTCGAATTTGCTCTGGCTAACACAACAGGCCAAGACCTTTACAAAGTCTTATGGCTTAAGAGTAAAAACTCGGAGGCATGGTTAGAAAGACGTACCAATTATACTCGGTCTTTAGCTCTAATGTCAATGGTTGGTTATATTCTTGGATTAGGAGATAGACATCCATCAAATATCATGCTTGATCGTTACACGGGAAAAATCGTACATATAGATTTTGGTGATTGTTTTGAGGTAAAGTTTTAAAGAATAAATATGTATATAGTATGATGATATTAAATTTGTTGATAGTAAATTCTTTAATATATATATATTTTTCTGTCAGGTTGCAATGACTCGGGACAAATATCCAGAAAAAATTCCATTCCGTTTAACGCGTATGTTGGTCAACGCAATGGAAGTAAGCGGTATAGAAGGAAATTTCCGTACCACATGTGAGGCTGTTATGAGCGTTTTAAGAAAGAATAAGGAAAGCTTGATGGCTGTTCTAGAAGCTTTTGTACATGATCCTTTAATAAATTGGAGAATTATGGCTAATCCAAGTCCAAGACAAGGTAACTTTATCGACCATAATGTTTCTTTTTACAGAATATTTAAGAATTTTTAATTTTTAAAAATCACCTCATTTTGACTAGATGGTGAGAACACGCATGCGGTCGCAAGTACAAGCAATCGTCGGGCTCGCGATATTATTAATCGTATATCAAATAAGTTAACAGGTTAGTATAAGTGCTAAATATGATTATTTTTTTTAAAAAAATACTGATTACTGTTTCCTTGTTTATAATTGTAGGCAAAGATTTCAAACCGAATCAAGTGTTGGATGTACCGTCACAAGTCGACAAACTCATTCAACAAGCAATCTCAGTCGAGAATCTGTGTCAATGTTACATCGGATGGTAATATAATTTAGTTACTACGTTTGGTGTGTGTATATATTTTTTGTTACTAATTGTTATTTTTCCTTAACTTTATAGGTGCGCCTTCTGGTAGTCGGTTGACAAACATGATAATAATATTTAAGCGATGAATTTATATTTGAATTTATATTTTAATTTATATCGTTATTATTTAGACTATTATTTTTAATAGACTTTTGCACACATATAATATAATATAATATAATATTTAACATTAATTATTTGTTAATGACAAAAAAACCAACCCCTATATAAATAAATTTTGTCTAAATCAAGTATCACGTGATAAACAAATTTGCGAAACTCCATTATTCGTCACTCGTTAAATTCGGCCAAGTTCCATAATGCGCCCAAAATCACGTGGGGTGAATTTTGACAACTATATATATCATATAAATTTTTTTTACATGGGAATATTTTAAACTCAAAAATTCAGAAATTGAAGATTGATTTCGTTCTATATTAATTAGATCTTCTCAGAGATCTGATTTGATTTTTTATTTTATATTCTTTACAAATAAAAAGTCACTTGATCGTGGTAGCGAAAAAATATGATTGGTATCGAACTAATCATAATATATTATTTCCTGTCTTGGTTCCATAAAGGCTAGCCAATCAGAAGTTGCAGTGGGTAAAAGTCCCATGGAAAAACATTTATATAATCCCAAGGCCATTGTAAGAAGCTGTAAGATTACATAAACAAGTTTTGGTAACATTAAATGTGGCCTGGTTTTTGGTGATTCATATCGTTCAAACACTTTTAAAGAATATGCTTTGTTAAAATCGTAGGAACAAAAAAAAAAAAAAAAAAAAAAAAAAAGAGGCAACAGTTATATACGCTCACCACTATCGATCCCCATTAATGCTTTAATCGGCTGGAAAAATAACATTCCTGTAATCATAACGCTAAATATCTGTACTCCATTTCCACTCATCCATAACATAAAAGCATTCATGGGTATATTTTTTCCTGGAGATAAAGCTACATCCCACGCTTTCTTAAATTAAAAAAAATGATAAAAATAAATCCAAATATTTAAGCAAGAAATATTATAATATTGACAAGTACTTTAATTTTTAATTGTTCTTGGTCTTTTTCGTCTTTTTTATTTTTCTTATAAAATCAAATCGATAAAAAATAAATAAATTATTAGAATACTTTAAAAAATAAAAAATAAATAAATAAAGATAAATCGCCTACCAAAATGCCTTTAGAACTTGAAGCAGTGATAGCCGGAACAGACGCGGTAAACCCTGGTGGAGGCGGTGCATCTATGACATAATTTTGCCCTCGAACTTCTCGTCGTCTGTAATAATGCAAAACTATAAAGTGAGAATAAATAAATAAATATATATATATATTTCACAAAGCGCATACCTTGCTTGATCTGAAAGATTTGTAAAGTCAATTCTCCATTTGTTGCTCGACATTTGTCTGACTTTTAATACTTAATAGTCCAAAAAAAAAAAAAAAAAGAGAAAAAAGGGAACTTTCTTTCCTAAAACAAAAAGTGGGCACATGACAGATTTTATTTGAATTGCGATTACCCGCAGTTTTAATTCTACTTTCTGACTTTCAAATAGCAATGCGGTGTAACAAATCTTGTAGAAAAGAACATTTTCGACAAATTCGGGGAAACTTTTTTGCCGAATGAACCTTACATTTCATTTTGTCGTGGAATTTTGTGGAAAAGACAACCTTTATCTCTTTTAGGCAACTCAATAAATCCGTTTTCCAAATTCCAAATAAACAAAATGAATCATACCAAAAACCAAAATATTCCAAATCAAAACCTCCAAAACACTATACCTCCTTCAGCAGCTGTAAACATGTTAATTGACTTAACAAAAGATAATACTGCTGCTGTTAACGCTTATTGTCCAATATTAGCTTCAAAAAAACAACGACGACTTGGAATCAGGAATGATTCTCCATCGTTATCTGCTGATACTAGACCACAAAAACGTAGTAGAATAGAAGAAGCTCAAGATTATAATCTATCAACACCGTCTTTATCAGTTCAATCGATTCCAAATATTTATAATCAAACTAAATTGCCTAGTACTCGAGAAATTTTTAATAATTCCCCTCCAATGGCTCCGGCACAGGTTAAACATGTTGCTTCATCAACTTATTTTCCTAACAATTCTATAATAACTCCAGAATTTACTTCTGCACCCACTTCAAATGGAATTCAATCTTCTTATGTACTACCAAGTAATACAATACTACCACCCGCTTCTGTAAATTATTCTTCACAATATTTATCGCATCCACAAGGTTTCCAAAGACCATACTATACTGAAATTCCTCCTTATAATCTGGGATATATTATGAATCCCTCCATGGCTCAAATACAACAACATATTACTTCTAATTCCCCTCCCAGTAGTTCTAGTAGTACAACTAGTTCTCAATCCCCTAATAATGCTCTGCAAGGTGAAGTTATCGATCTAACGACTGATAGTGATGACGATTGTATTATCGACGAGAAAGAAACCAACAGAGATTTGTGCTGGGGGATGATCGAAAGTTTAGTATTAATATTATACCCAAGGCCCTGTACTGGTGGCAAAGGTGAAGAAGAGGTGAAGTTAAAACGTGAAGGGATTACAGGAAAAAATCAAGGTTATTTTTTTTTTTTAAAAAATCAAATCAAAATCATGATCATGATGAATCTTTAAATTATAATATTTATATTGTATAAATAATATTTAGCCGTAATTCGTGTTAACAAAGATAATGAATTGGTAAGAATCCTTTACCAGTTTGTTGTCGGTTTATTTTTTTTTTTTTGATTAATATAAGACTTTAACTAATTATACTTGAAACCTTCAAGTTCGGAGTAGTTGAACAAGATTTAGCTAATGTACTGGCTCCATTGATGGACGAAAATCTTATATGGACAGAAGCAACGATTCCAAAAAATTGGTCTCCTTCAGTATATAACTTTTACATTTACAATTAGGCAAATGTCTTATTTGAAGATCGAGTAGTTAACACAAATCATTTTTTAGGACCAGATGATACCTTTACATATTGTAATATATGGACGTCCTGTTAATACCGAAATCGTGAGCTCACATCTTTATGAAAGGAAAGTAATTTTGACAGATCCAGTAGTTTATAATGTAGAGACGCGTTATGCAAATCCACATAGTCTACCTCCCGGTATCACCCATTTGAATAAAAATAATCTGAAATCATTTAAAGAGTATTCGGGTGGAAGCAGTGGGACAACAACCACTAGATCACCGGAAGATATGAAAAATCAAATTGATAAGGTTTTTAATTCTTTAATGAATGCTGAAAGCATTCCTGAATTAGATCCGGGTAAGGCAACAATTATTTATGTAAGAATATATATTTCTTGTTCAGCATCATCTGACACAAAATTTGCAATATAGATGATAGATTAGCTACGACGTTATATAAACATCAAAAACAAGCGTTGTATTTCCTAATGAAAAGAGAACAATACAATGATTTTACTGACGATCAGACTAATGAATTAACTACATTATGGAGACGTCGAATTAGCGCAGGACGGCATACTGTCTATTACAATGTAGTAACTAACTCGGAGGTCAAAGTAAAACCCGTTCAGATGAGAGGGGGGATTATCGCCGATGATGTACGTTTGTGAATATCTTTATTTACAATGTGTTTTATTCTTATATATTTACACTTTTCATACTATTATAGATGGGTCTTGGTAAAACTATTCAAATAATAGCGCTGATCCTTGGTACTCAAAATGAAGCTATAGAATTTGCAAAAGAATCAGAATTTCTCTCTTCAAATTCAGATTCATCATCATCATCTTCTTCGAATAATCGTAAGTCACCATCACCATCTAAACAATCAGCAAATGAATATTCAGACATGGATTTGAGATCTAGGGGAACCCTTATCGTATGTCCCCTATCTACTGTTGCAAATTGGGAAGAACAACTTGCTGGTCATGTTCAAGAAAACGCTCTCAACGTATATGTATATCACGGGGGCGCTCGCATTTCAGATCCTTCCCATTTAATAAATTATGACGTTGTAATTACAACTTATAATGTATCTGGTACTGAATATAGCAAACAATCAAAAAACACCATAAATAGTGCTTTGCAACAGATTCATTGGTTCCGTATAATTTTAGATGAAGCCCATATAATCAAAGATATTAACACAGTACAAAGTAAGGCTGCTTGCTCATTGAAAGCGGAAAGGCGTTGGTGTTTGACTGGAACACCGATCCAAAACAAGTGGGTTAACGGTTTTCCTTTATTTATAAATTATCATTTTACATTTATTTATATTTTTTTATATGTATAGGTTGGACGATTTATTTGCCCTTATTAAATTTCTTCACATGGTTCCCTTTGAATCCAAGGAAAACTGGAATCACTACATTTCACGCCCAATTAAATCAATCGATCCTGTTGGTATTAGTAGATTACAAACTATAATGAAGTGTATAACTCTTCGTAGAACAAAGATAGTTAATGGAAAACCATTATTGGCCTTACCACCACGCAACGATCACTATCGTTATCTTGAACTTAGTGATCATGAGCGTAAATTATATGAAAAGATATATCGTTCCCAAGCTGAAAGGATTAAAAAGTTTGCTGAGGAGAACAACATTATGCGACATTATGTTAACATTTTGCAGTCTTTATTACGATTGCGTCAGATTTGTGCTCATTACTCATTAGTCAAAGAGTCCGATATTCCTGACGATTTAGACGAGGAAATAGTTAACGAAGGGTTAACTCCGACAAGAGCGTTGATGTTACTTAGTATAGTTAGGGAAAGTGGAGTGGATCAATGTGGTTCTTGCCTATCGGATTTGGCCCAAACAGTTGTAGTTACTCGATGTGAACATTTGTTCTGCATTGATTGTGCTAATAAAAACATGAGTCAATTGTTAAGTTCAGCCCCATTTGAGGACCAAAAAGTTTTGGCGGATTGTCCAATATGCGGGCTGAAATTAATTTCTGGAGATGTTTGTGAAGTTTCCGATTCTAAAGATATTGAGAATGATCATATTACGAGATCTGAGGGGGTTGTGAAGGTCCATAGTACCAAAGTCAAAGCGTTACTTGAAGATCTGGTTCAAGCAAAGAAAGATGGTGTGAAAAGCGTAGTGTTCTCTCAATGGACCAGGATGTTAGATTTAATACAGGTAATATTATAAATTTATATTTTTTTAAAAAAAAAGCCTCCAAACTAATATTAATAATAATATTTAGGATGCTTTAAACGAAAATGACATCATATATACTCGATTAGATGGCACGATGCCTCGTGCAGAGCGTACACAAAATATGAACATTTTTAAAAAACAGGATGATGTGAGCGTCATACTCGTTTCTTTGAAGGCTGGTGGCGTTGGGTAAGACTTGATAGTGATTTATAGTTCAATTTCGTTATATGTATTCTATGTTCGATACTCGGATGTGCTTATGAAGAAAGTGAGGTTAATCCAACAATTTCTATATACATAGGTTGAACTTGACAGCTGCCCAACGAGTATATCTTATGGACCCCTTTTGGTAACCGATTTATATACGAATTTCTATTTAATTGATCATCTTATACACATCTAAATAACTATCTCTTTCCCTTTTTTTTTTCGTAAATAGGAATCCGTCAGTTGAAAACCAAGCCATCGACAGAATTCACCGTCTTGGCCAAACTTGTGCCGTGGATACTATAAGATTTATTATCAAGGTAAATTAGACTACCTTTTTAACTCTATAAATAATTGATTAGTTTATTTATTTACAATGATATGATATTATAATAGAATTCTGTGGAAGAAGGCATACTTCAGTTGCAAGAGCGTAAGTTACGACTTGCTGAATTAACATTTTCCGAAAAATTGAGCAAGCAAGAGATTACCAGACGTAGATTGGAAGATCTCAAAGTTCTTTTTAAATGATTTAAGGTTGTCATTATTCTGTTATAATATCAATAATTTTTTAATAAGCCGAAATAATAAATAATTAAAAACAAAGATTAATGTTTAATATAAGGAAAAAAAAAAAAAAATACTTTAACCCTTTGGGACTATTAAAATAATTATATCTAGATACGATATATTTGTATAATATAGCACGTGATTACATTAAGTTTACCGCAATAAAACATTATTTAATGAATACATACGTAAATACAAATAAGAATTAGTGAATTATTAATTTTTATCTCCCATACATGTTTCATTTCCTCCATCTTTAATCACATAACGAAATAACAACGGCACTAGCGCCACCGCCACCATTACATACACCAGCTACACCAACTTTGCCATTCTTTTTTTGTAATACACTAATTAAAGTACAAATAATCCTTGCGCCACTACAACCTAGTGGATGACCCATGGCAACAGCTCCTCCAAAGACATTTATTTTATCTTTATCTAATCCAAGTAATTTTAAATTTGCTAATGCTACTACTGAAAATGCTTCATTAATTTCAAAATAATCTATTTGTGACAATTGAATATTTCCTGCATGAGCCAATGCTTTGGGAATTGCCAATGCAGGTGAAGTGGTAAAGTTTGCTGGTGCCTTATAAAGGAAGTTTGAGACATTTTTTAAATATTTGTGAATAAGAAAAAAAAAAAAAATTATTGTTTATAATTTAATTACCTGAGCGGCTTCACCCCATCCACTAATTTTTGCAATGGTTTTGACGCCTAATTCTTTTGCTTTTTCACCACTGATCAAAACAATGGCTGCGGCTCCGTCACTTAATGGTGAAGAATTCGGTGCAGTCACTGTCCCTTTTTCCGAGAAAGCTGGTCGGACTACGCGTAACTTATCAACATTAAGCTGTATCAAAAATTAAAATAATTTATTTTTTCTTTTTGTTAGTTCCCAATAAATAAAATTAAATATCAATCTCAATTTTCTTACGTTTGAAATTTCATCATCTTGAGTGATAACTTTGTTAGGTTTGCCCCTACCTCCCGGAACGGTTATGGGAACAATTTCATCAGCATAATGTCCATTAGCAAAAGCTGCTTGTGCACGTTGATAAGAAGAGATCGCATAATTATCCTTTTTTTTTTTGTTAAAACAATTTTACTTTAGTGTAAATTAAAAATAAATATTGAAGGTTTTTTTTTTTTATTTATTTTTTTACCTGATCCTCACGAGTAAATTTGTGTTCAGTTGCACATTCTTCAGCAGCAATGCCCATAAGGTAGTTATTATATACATCTGTTAAACCATCTTTAACTATGCCATCAACAAGAGTTTGATCTCCATATTTAGATCCAAACCTTGCTTGCGGTACATAGTAAGGAGTGTTTGTCATTGATTCCGTACCACCCGCAACGACGATCTATCGATATCGATATCGTTTTTTGTCGTTACAAAAATAATCATATAATATGTTATGAACTAATAAACCAATTGACTAATTGATCATGAACTCACATCAGCATTACCGGTGATAATCGTTTGAGCACCTAAAATTACGGCTTTCATACCGGAAGCGCATACTTTATTGACAGTAGTAGCGATCACGGTATCAGGGATGCCTGCACCAAGAGCAACTTGGCGAGCAGGATTTTGACCTATAATCGATAATTTTTTTTTTTTAAAGTTCGAAAAAATTTAATAAAAAACTTCAGTTCAAAATAATTTCGATGGATGAAATTGAAATTACCAAGGTTGGCCGAAAGAACATTTCCGAAAAAGACTTCTTGAACGCTATTAGTTTCGATTTTGGCCTTTTTTAAAGCAGCTATGGATTTTTTTTTTTCAATTAATAAAGGAATCATAATAATAAAATGATTGATTGATGGATTACCTTCAACAGCAATCGAACCTAATTTTATGGCAGATAATGATGCTAATGATCCGTTAAACCCTCCAAGCGGAGTTCTTGCAATAGCAGCGATATATACATCTGATAAAAAATTATTTATAAATTTATAAATTCATTTATCAATCATTTTAATTATTTTAATAAGAATGTACCTTTTTGAATCATTTTTAATATTAGTAAATAAATTTAAGAAAAGAAAAATGAAAGTACAAAAAGAATGAGCGAATTTATTAGCTCCATCTTTTGTTAAAAAAAAAAAAAAAAATCGATAAAAATGCAGTAGTTTGTGAAATGCAAATTAAATAACAAATTTGAACATTGTTTCCGGAAAAAAACGCTTAGTGTAATGCATTTTCGATTATACTCCGGAAATTACTATTATGGAAAAGATATCGGTGATAACAACTTTATTATAATTTGTAATTAAGAAACAGATCTTTACTATTTTAATCTAATTCATAAATTTCTCGAGGTTGTGGAGCCTTTATACGAATGCGACCAGGATACGAAAATGATACAACAGGATAAAGCTTTGAAGGAAGATTATCCCAAGCCGAACTTAATGATTGTCTTTTTCCATTGACAGAAAACGCACAAGTTCGTTTATTCATATTTAAATGAACCGTTATCCTATCTCCAACTGAAAATGACGAGCCATACCCTAAATTAATTTTATCATTAGCGCAAACGCCATGAGAGCCGTAAACCCATCCATTCGATTGGTCACCAGCAAATTTATTGTAATTAAAGTTTTCCTCGGACATGATTCCTATCCATACGCTATTACACATTTTTTCGATGATGATATCCCATTCATATTGTCCCTTATCGGTTATAGCAATTTTAGCTTTCACACTTTGATTCTGGTCGCATTCTGGTATTGCCGTAACAATGGTTTCTTCTTTATCGTCGATAATAAGTTGTGACCCACAGCAATTCCTATCCCATACATATTCTGCATCATATTCAATATACCCGCAGGGATCGATATTCCAAACATATTCTACGCTATCTTCAATGCATATGTATGGAATTCCGCGTGTGTCCGGTATTGATTTATTTTTTGCTTGGTGACGATAAACTTGCATCATTGCATCACTTGGAACTATTTCTAATGGTTCAATAATGTCTTCCAGGATTTTTACGTTAATACGCCAAAGTTCGATATAATCGAGTAAAGGTGTAAACATTTGAATCAATTGTGGAAGAACTTCAATATACTTTGGATTGTCGATGTTATCAATTTGAATCGGATGTCCAGCGATCTTCTTCTTTGATGGTAAATATCCTTCAAGTATTGAAGTTGCGTCTTTGGATATTTGACCGGCTACTCGAATCAATGAATATCGGAATACAGAGTATTCTGGAGTAGCGAAAGGGATCATTTTGTCGTCTTGAGTGTGTGATAAAAGGCATTGTAATGCTTTTAATGAAAATCTGTCAGGTCCAATAGATTCTAAATGAATTTTTGCTACTGATTCAACTAGCAAATCCATAATTTCACAATCGGCCGATGCAGACATCTTGGCAACCGCCCTTGTTAAGAATTCTGGTGCACATGTTTGTTTTTGATTTACATTAAGAATGAGTCTAACTATTTTGAAAATTGAATCCCGAAAATTAAACATTTGAAAATAATCTGCTGCATGATATACTTCAATTATATTGTCATGATTCAAATAATTCTCCATATCACATCCTGTATACAAAAATTCGAGAACTATTTCCATCACCGAAGAACTAATTTCTGGAAAGGATATCTTATTGTCAAAAGATTCTCTCATTCCATTATAGAGCAGTCCATCAAATATTTCT